ATTTTGAGAAAAAAGAATCACATTTGGTGACTTTTAAGAGTCGATCAAATGTTAATCAAATTAATTTCTTTTTTTTTAATGAGGAAAAGAGGATAAAAATAGCTATAAAGATTGTAAGATTATACCGAGTAAAAGTGTAACAACACAATATAGATTGCTAGTTTTAGATATCTTTCACCTTTGAGGGTTAAAGAGGATACATCAGAGTCATGAACATGTATTAAATGGTGAAACTTAAAAGAGAATAAAATGTTAGATTTTAGATATAGATTGATAAAAGAGGATAATTGAAAACCTGATGAGGATGTAAAAGTAATGTGAGAAAATATTTCTACCAAAATTCAAAGAGTTGCTAAAGAGACGCTTGGCGAATCTAGGGTCGTGTACCATTGGGAAAAGAGTCTAAGTGATGGAATAAGGATGTGAAAACACAATTAAAGCTAAGTGAGAGTGTTATAAAGTTTAAGAAACAATAGATATGAGACGAGTTATTTAAAGTATAAGATAACAAAAAAGAAAGCCAAAAAAGCTATTCTAAATTTAAAGACTAGGATCCATGTGAAATTATATAGAAAATTAGAGACAAAAATTAGAGAAAAAAATTGTTCAAAGGTGTTAAGATGAGGGATAAGAAGAGTAAGATCTTAATGGTAAAAGATGGATCAAAGGCGGTGACAATAAAGTTTTAGTGAAAAATGAGGAGATTAAAAAGAGATGAAGATATTATTTTGACAATATTTTAATAGTAATTTTGAGCATGATATAGGTGGGTGTAACATATCTTTTAAGGGTATAAATTGTGTGTTTAAATATAATATTAAAAGGTATGAGATTAAAGAGACTTTGAAAATGATGAAAGCAAATAAAGTTGTAAAACTAAATGGAATCCCAATTAAAGATTGAAAATACTTGAGTGAAATAAAGATAGGAAGATTGACAAATCTTTTCAACAAAATTTAACATATTTAAAAGATATTAAAAGAATAGAGAAACAGTACTCTAGTACCTTTATACAAGAATAAAAGTTATATACAAAATTGTTCAAACTATCAAGAAATAAAGCTTATGTGTATACTATGAAATTTTAGGAGAGAGCAATTAAATGTAAGTTATGATATGAGATTTTTTTTTTTTGAAAACCAATTTGGTTTGATGCCAAGACTTTCTATAATAAAGGTAATTTACTTATTGAGGCTTTTTTTTTTAGGGTTTTTAGGCAAAAAAGAAAGATCTATATATAGTATTTATTGATTTAGAAAAAGCATACGATAGAGTTCCTTAAGAGGTACTTTGGTAAGCCTTAATGAAGAAAAAAATTCCTTTAAAGTACATTAACATAGTTAAAGATATGTATGAAGGAGTTGTAACGAATGTAAAAACATTTTTGAATGTGACTAATAGCTTTCCCATTACTTCAAGATTGTATCAAAGCTCAGCACTAAGTCTATTTCTTTTTATATTAGTTATGGATAAGCTCATTAGACATATCCAAGACAAAGTGCTATAATGTATGTTATATGTCGATGATATAGTCTTATTACTAAAACTAATGATGATCTTAAGGCAAAATTGGAATTATGGAGGCATACACTAAAGTCGTAAGGTTACTAAGTAGATCTAAAACTGAATATATATAATATAAGTTTAGTAATCATAAGGAAGCAAGTAATAGTATGATTAAATTGAGTGGTGAGCTAATACCAAATAGTAGTCATTTTCAATATTTGGGATGAATTATTCAGAATGATGCTGAGATTGAAAATGTTATAAATCATAAGATTCAAGTAAAATGCTTGAGGTGATGAAGTAATTAGGGTGTGTTGTGTGATTACAACAATTTTTAAAGTTAAAAGCAAAATTGTATAAAATAATTGTAAGACTTACTTGTTATATGAAACTGAGTATTAGGCCATTATGAAGTAACATGAAAAGAAAATGAGTATAGTTGAGATACAAGGGCATAGATGAATATGTGACAAAACTAGAAGGGATAAAATAAAATATAAAGATATTTGAGAAAAATTAGAGGTTGTTTGAATTGAGAAAAAGATGAGAGAATGATGTTTGAGATGTTTTGGACATGTAAAATATAGGTTTATATGTGCATCAGTTAGCAAAAATAAGCTTTTAGATTTAGAAGAGACCAAAACTTCTAAAGGTAGACTACAAAGACATGATACAAGTAATAAAAAATGATATGAGGATTAAGTAAATAAATTAAAATGTTGTTTTTGAAAAAAATGAGTGGTACAAGAAAATTTAAAATTATGACCTAACATGATTTCTTTTCTGGCTTTCATATAACCGACTTTAGAGTTATAGAATATAAGGCTTAGTTTGTTATTGTTGTTATATTTTTTACTTTATTTTTAAAAAAAAAATTTTAAAAATGTCCCAAAATTAAAAATAAATAAATAAAAAGGTAACATTTATATAAATCCCTATAGTTTGTGACTTTCTCACTTACATCCTTATGAAAATTTTTTTTCCACTTGTAATTTTGTGGTTTACTTCTGTTACCAAAAAAGATAACGACATTAAAAAATAAAAATGAGAGCAATTTTATAATTTCACTAAAACTTGCTTGATTTTTAACGTTGTTACTCTCTTCTGACAATGAAAATACACCACAAAATTATAAATGAGGAAAAATTTTCCATGAAAGTGTAAGTGAGAAACTCATAAATCACAAATATTGTATGTGAAATTTTCCAAAAAAAAAAAAAAATTGTGGGTTGCTAATTGAATGACACATCCTTCATCCCTAACTATATATTTTTTATTTTTTAGAAATAATTTAAAAAAAGTATAAATATTTTTTATTTGGAAGAAAAAGTAAAAAAATCGCAAAACTAAAATTTTTTTGAATGGATGGCTAACGAATTAGTGTCAAAATTAAAATCATCTTCAAAAGACCACTAAAAACTTCATTTTAGTAGTTAATATAAATTAATTATATTTTAAATATATAATCTGTTATGCAAGAGGTAAAAGATTTCATCTTTCTACTACTTACAAAATGATTTTAAATATAAAAAAAATAATTTACATAACAAACACTTATTGAAATCTAGTCAACCTTGATTTCATTAGAAGTTTTCAGTGGGATCGAAATTTAATTTTATTTTTAAGGTAATATAAAAATTACAAATTTTTAAAATTTAATTTGAATTTAAATTAAAATTTTATATCATTGATTTTAATAGAATTTTATCATTTGATTTATTAATTTTTAAATTTAAATTTAAATTTTTTATATTATTTTAATGTATTTAAATAAATTTAAAAATAAAATATTATTTTTATTTTATAAAAATTTTAAATATATATAAAAATTAATAAAAATATATAATTAAATTCAATTTTATTTCTTATTTAAAATCTAATTCAAATTCTATAAATATTTAATATTCAAATTTAAAACGAAATAAAAAAATTCAAATCAAACTAATATTATAATATAAAATTAATTTTCGAATTTTTCTCTACTTTTTTTTCTCAGCCTTTCAAACAAGTAACGGACTCATGACCCAGCAAAACCGATCTTTAATATGATCGGCTGAATTCAATTTCGCAAAAAATAAAAAAATAAAAAAAAAAGAATAAAAATGATATAAATATTTTTTTTCGAAATTGTTGGATTGTTGAATCATATTTATGCATCAGATTTATTCGGTTTTTAATAAAAAAAATGAAAGAAATTGCTGGAATCAACAATCAAGTGATCGGACGGACAGTTCAAATTGTAGCAGAGAGAAAAGGACAAGAAAATGATTTAAAAATGGAAACAAAAGGGTAAAATGGGAAAAAAAAAAAAAAAAAGCGCACAAATCAAAACCCATATTTGGCGGGGCTTTCAATTTGGTTTATTGCAGAGAGAGTGCTTTTCTTTCTCATTTCTGACAATATTCTCTGCACGATGCTCACTGTTTCCCTCGGGTCTCGTGCTTTCTTATTTTTATTTAAACATTTATTTTTATATTTTTAATAAAAATTCTGTAAATATTTAAATTTCAGTTATAAAGTTTAAATTATTATTTTAAAATTTCTATTATTAACTAGCAAAATTAAACAATTTCTTTTTATTTCAAAAAAAATATTTTGAAAAGAAAGTGAATATGAAAGAAAATTTTGTTTGGTTGTTTGACATTAATTGGACTTTTCATTGTTCCCAACAAATCACTGTTGTTTTCTGTGTAGTCAAGTACAGTCTTTCTGTTTCCAGTTATTTCAGAAAGGCAGGGTTCCCTTTACCTTTTGTTCAAGAAACCTGGATGGTTGATTCATTTATGCATTCTTCAAAATTTCTCTCATTGTCGGCAGATTTCATGTGGGTTTTATTTGTTTTAATGGAAATGAGCGTTAAAAATATTTTTAAAAAATTAAAAAGGTGAAACTTTAGTTGATTTCATTGCTTTTCCAACCATCTTTTGTGAGATTTTTCCATTTTGATTCTACAAGTGTAATGTGGGTTAGAAAAATCTGGTTTTTTTTTTTTTTAGGTAGTGAGTGAAATGCTAAAATAAAAAAGCAAAAGAAAAACTTGTGAGGCAGTTTTTGTCTTTTTGGAGGGGGTTTTGATCACTGTAAATGCTAAAGCCTTCTTTGAAGATTCTTGGGTTTTCTTTGATTGTTTTGTTGTGATTGGTTGATTAGTAATGTGCTTTTCGGAGCGTAAATGGTAAGGGAATCACAAATCTTTGTGAGGTTTTAATGGAAGTTTTGAAGTGAATGATTCTGAAAGAAATGTACTTTCAGTGGCCTCTCTGTTAAGGGTTTTGTTCACTTTCTGCTATAGTGCTGTTTTCATAGGTTTTGAGTGAGAAATGACTACTTTTTTTTCTCTGTTGTAGAGCTTCTGCTTATGTATCAATTGCATTGAAAGCTGCTTTTTGATTGCAAACTTGGGCTATCTCAGATGATATTCTTGTCTAAGGTGAGATCTTCAGATGCTTGCTTAAAATATATTCAAGGAGTCTGGATTTTAACTGTTGCTACCAAAGGACTTTCTGTGGCTCAATTTACTGGTTCTTCTCTTGGCATGTTGGCTTGGATATCTGACATTTGCTGGAATAAGAATATTATTCTCTAGTTGAAAAGTTACTCTCTGAGTATCTTGGTATGATTCTGGGATCTATAAGTGTAATTTATATCACAGAATCTAGTTTCTAAAGCTTCAATATTAAAGAGAAAAAAAAAAAAGAAGCTTATTTGGCAGCAGAAAAAAGTGTAGGAGATGGATTTCTTGAAAGTTAAGAAGTTTAGGAAAGCCCACAAGCCTGACCTTGAAAAGGATTTGGAGGATAAGCCTGTACCAAAACCAGAAGAACCAAAGAATGAGAATGGTGCTACTGGAGGTGATAATGATTTAAATAAATCATCCAAAGCTGATCCTGCGGCTGAAGTTGAGGATGATGATGATGATTTTATTACGAATGAGGTGAAGAGGAGATTGAAAGAACTAAGAAGAAACAGTTTTATGGTGTTGATTCCTGAAGAAGAAGAGGAGTCGTACCCTGAGGACGAGGAAGAGGAGGCTGGTGAGACCAGCTCTACTGAGTGGAGGGATGTGGAAGCAGAAGGCAGACAATGGTGGGGTGGGTTTGATGCTGTTTATGAAAAGTATTGTGAGCGTATGCTGTTCTTTGATCGGATGATTGCACAGCAGCTCAAGGAAGCTGGTAAATATTTCCATCATCTCTGTTGCATTGTCTGATTTTACACTGTGAGGAAGCTGTGGCTATACGAGCTTTTAGTTCTTACATTTCTGCTGGGAAATCATATTAGCTGCATTTTGAGGAGACATGCTGTTGCCTGATTGGGTTGAAATTTCTAGTTAGAAGTTTCTTTCTTTTGCACTTCACTAGCACCACAAGCACATAGGAGTTCCAAATGTACAAGGTCTTAGTGGGAAGTAGGGTGGTGATTCAGGCTTTGTAGATGTCACCACTCATCTGTTTGTGATATGAATCTCCTTAAATTTACTTGAGAAAATAATATTGTCCAAATTAGTGAGCTGAATAAGCTTGTGAGGGATGCAACATATTAGATTATTGAGTACAATGCCATCTGATTAGCCTCGGAATTAAGCTTCTTGACCTTATTCATGATTTGTCAATTTGTATTTCCCTTTATGAAAAAGAGTTTTCCTGGAACTCAGTACGCTTGCTTCTTAATGCTTCACTTAAGTGTTGGGTGTTGGGATTGGTGCAATATTAATTGGAGTCATTCTCATTCGTTTTATTGCTTTCTGTCATTTACCCTCTTTTTTTTCTTTTGCTTCAGGCTGTAAGCTCATTAATTTTTGTAAAATTATAGCTATTGTCCTGTCTGACAATCTGAGTAATCATACAGCACTGGTAGATGCAATTAATGATGAATGCTATTTTTTGGCAGTGTTTTCTTTTTCTCCCCTTGTAGACCTTCGTGTTTTACTCCGTACTTTGTCAGGTGCTCCTAGTTTGAGGTTTTCTACAGGTTTGATGCTTGTTCAACATGGTCTTGGTTGATGTTGATGGGAACCAAAGAATTTAGTTAAAACTCTTACAGCTTTATATTGTGTTTATAATGGAAGGATAACTCTTTTAACTTGTCCAGTTTTGTTAATCTAAGGATATTATTTCCTTTAGCTATGTTTGTGCTGTTGAATTTCAATTAATAATTGCAGCAATTTAATGTTCTTAGAAAGAATTTGGCTAGAGAGGGTCAAACTATTGTGTTCTTATCTAGGAAAGCTGACTGCATCTATGCATAACTAAAATGTGGTTTGTTCCTCCCGTGGCTATAATAAAACTTCAAATTAAGGAAAAGTGAGCCATTTCTTGGAATATTGTACTTCAACTCTTAAGCAGCTCCTCTTCTTTGAATGGACAATTTTTTTTTTGCCTTTTACTATATATTTGCAAGTTGGTGATGGAAGAAACGAGAAACTAAGGTTTCAAACGTGAGAGGAGATCTTGAAATTCAGGCTAGCACACTGCTAAACAAATCTGAGTCAACAGCTTTCTTGTTGACTCAATTCTACTCTTAGGTGCTAAAGTATAGTACTAAGTGCCATATGTAGGATCATTGGGGTTTCAATTTTTTTTTTTTTTTTGTTGTTGGTGGGTGTAGAAGTGTTTTCTGAAATATTTTCACCTTTTGTTTAGTTTTAGCTTTGTGGTCTCCTTGTTAAAGTTGAATCTTGAATTCTCATTGCAAATAATTGTCTTACAGGCCCCAGATATCCTTCAACTCCACCAAAATCTGCATCTAAGAAGCTTGCATCCCCCCTGCGCTGCCTTTCCTTGAAGAAGGTTGAAGAACCTGATGAAGAAACGGAGCACCTGCAGCAGCCTATAAGTAACCCATATCAGGATCTTGAAATAGCATATGTAGCTCAAATTTGCTTAACTTGGGAAGCACTTCATTGCCAATATACACAACTCAGCCAGATAGTTTTGTGCCATCCTGAGAATCCCACCTGTTACAACTGCAGTGCTCAGCAGCTTCAACAATTCCAGGTTTTGTTACAGAGGTTCATTGAAAATGAACCTTTCCAGGATGGTCTCAGAACTGAAATCTATGCCCGTGCTAGGAATATTTTGCCTAAGCTGCTTCAAATTCCAAACATACAAGGTAAATCTTTGAGGATTGTTGGGGGAAAAAAGTAGGAAACTTGGATTTTCTTTGTGGCCTAATAATTATTTCAGTTTACACACTGAAACTAGGTTCTGTAAATGAATCTGCTATATTTTTTCTGTTTAACCGAATGAGGAAGTACTTGATAGGATTGGTTCTATTTACTTAAAAGGTAATTCTTCCTTGAATCTTTACAGGTTCAGATCAGAAGGAAAAGGTGGAAGATGAATCAGATTATGTGGTCCTTGCTCCTGATATCATCAGGATTATCGAGAGTTCAATCCTGACATTCCGGCAGTTTGTAAAAACGGACAAGAAAAAAAATAGTAGCATTATTAACCTGTTTGGAAACCAAAACCCAATGGCTACCCCTCTCCAACAAGTTCAGTCTTTATTAGAGAAGGTAACTTCATGCTATGCTATCCATTTCAACTTTATAGGTTACTACTTGATTACATATAATTGCCCACATTACACCCCTTCTAACTAGTTTTATTGAATACTTTGCTTTATGAGAGTTGCAACCAGGTTCGTGCCCCATGATTATTAATAGTTCATTTGCTTGGCTTGCTTTGATATTCTAATGAGCATGCGTGAATTGCCATTTTATTTGAAATTGTAAAGCTATCCTAGAACATTTAAGTATATTGTTTAGTTTGGCTCTTTATCTCCTATTGGCTACACTATTAGAGGTAATGAAATGCTGTAACAAAACAAAAGTTAAACAATCATGCTAGACTGCTAGAAAATCTTAATTTTCTACCATCCCTTTGCAATATGAAAGGACACAAATTTCAAATAAAAGTATGCTTTTTAAACCAATAAAATTTGGATTTCAAATTGACACAATTTGTGCCAAATTTAAGCATGTTTGGTCAATACAAACATCGTGCTACTAATGTTCACCAGCTGTATTATCGATGGACTCTTGGTGGCTTACTCTTTAATTGCACTTGCCATTCTTTGGAGATGTTCATTTTTTTTTTTGTTACATGGTATTGAAGATAGGGATCTCTTATCTCTATTACTAAAGAGGATGCCCCTTGTTGTACTGTTCAAAAAACTCTGTATGGATCTACTCATTGTAACTTCTGATGATTTCTTTATGTTCATTTCTTTCTGCAGAAGGGGGTGAAGCTGAAGGAACTATGTAAAAAAACAAAAGGGTGGAAAAAGAAATCCCGACCGCTAACACATGAGGATTTTCCATTGTTGTTTGGCCTAATTGACATCAAAATTATCTCCAGGGTTCTTAGAATGTCAAGGATCAGTAAAGAGCAGTTGTTCTGGTGTGAAGAAAAGATGAAAAAACTAGATTTATCTGATGGGAAATTGCAGAGGGATCCTTCGCCCATCCTCTTTCCTTGTTGATAGCGGTAAGGAATGATTAACAGAGCTGGTTTAGTGGTCAGTTAACTGCAGAAAGACCCCTCTATTTTTGTTTTAAAATTCAGTGTTGCCATTGATTTTTTCCTGGAAATTTCTTTATAATTGATTGAGTGGTAGCATATGATTTGCTTTAGGTTGATGGTATTGATTGCCATTTACCAGTTTTTTGCTTCAACTACTTAAAAATTTATTAATCTGGTGAATGACATCAATGCATCGTGATCATCCTAAACCGAAATTGCTTATTGAAGATTAGAAATGAGAAAGCAGAGGGTCATTTCTGCAGCATTGAACAAGAATTGTGGTTTAAGTTGTTGTGCTTAGGATATTTTGTATCTCATCAAACTTTTTGATGTTTCAGAATTTAGATACATGTTGTGGATATTGTATGAGAAGTAATGCTAATGTTATTATCATTCACTGTCTCTTTGTTTCAATCATCCCTATTCCCTACCCTAGTTTCCATTAGTGCCCTTGTTTAACCTGTACGGAAAAACTTTTTCTAATGATTTAGTGCTCATTTGGATTATGCCACACCACAATTGAACTTATTGCATATCAGTCGAATTCAAATGTTGGCAAAAAATTTTTATTGAAATTCTTTTTCAATTGTAGTTATAATAATTTTTTTTTCAATTACAATTAGTGACTATTGATCTACATAACAAATTACTTAACATTTATGTCAAGGGAAAGTTTGAATTTTGAGCATTGATTAGAACCTTTTGGTTTATGTTGAGCTTTCATTTAAAATATTGTATGTAAATAATTCTTTAAGTTTATTCCAAAATGTAAATAAATCTTTTAACTTATATTGCATGAAATTAAGGTTAAGAATTTTTATTTTATTGTAATTAGAATTTTAATAATATAAAATATTCTATTTTTTTCTTTAAAATTTTTAATTAGATGATTTAATTTATAAAAAAAATACTTATTTAAATTTATTTGTATGAGTTAAATGATAAATATTAAAGAGAATATTTTTTTAAAAAATTCTATCAATTAGACATTATTCATTTAAATTTAAGATTTTATGAATATAATTATAATAAAATAAATGTTTATAATCTTAATTTCATTCAATAAAAGATAAAAGGCATATTTGCATTTTGAGATAAAATTCTAGGATTTATTTAAATATTAAACCATAAAAAAAAAATGAGCCTTTTTCTTTTAACTAAATTAAGATATTACTTAATAGGAGTATCATTACTTATTACTCCATATAATTTAATATTATTGTTAAATCATATATACAATATAGTATTATTGTTAAATCATATATGTTAATGTTGTAAAGTTTGATGTAAGACTTGTGATGTGGTTTTTTTTTTTTTTTACTTTTTTTTTATATATTAATGTTGTAAAATTTGACTTGCTGATGTGGTATTTTTTAACATTTTTTTATTTTTTACATATTTAATTAATTTTATTATTTTTAAAAAATTGTGTGACATTCATTTGATATTATTAATTAAAAATATATTTTTCAGTCTTTGTCTTTTTTTTCTTTTTTAAATTAGATAAGTTTATAAGTAAAATATATAGATTTAGATGTTGACATACTATGAAATTTTTTTTTTTAACTTTTTTTTAGTTTTAGTTTTTTAGGGTTTATATAATAAAATTTGTAAAAAAAAAAAAAGATCTCATAATTTTAAATATAATACAATAACAAAAATAATATAAATATAAAATATTAATATAATATAATATAATATACATTTTTTAAAAAACTATAAATAAATTTAATAAAATTATAAAATTATAATTTTTATATAAAATATGATATAAATATGATATTTTACATAATATAATTAAAAAATTACTAGATCTATTAAAAACGCCTAAAATCCTATTTTGCTATTCCATCCATGAATCCTCATTCCCTGTTTCCCTTTTCCTTTTTCCTTTTCTCCGATGGCCATTCAATCTTTTTCTGGCCACCAGTTGCTACCGATCCATCACCGACAAAGTTTTACCCTTTCCATTCACGATTTGAAGTATTTAAATTTATTCTCAACTTTATTTTTGACTTAAAGTTTATTAATATAATTTAAAATTTTAATAATTATTATATTTAAATTTAATAAAATAAATAAAATAAATTTTATAATTTTATATTAATATTTATTATAATATGTAATTTTTATATAAAATATAATTAAATATATAAATTTTAATATTTTATATAATATAAGTATATGAATCTTCGAATTTGATAAAAACATGAGACCGAAGCGTCACTGTTTTTTTTTTTGTTTTTTTTCTGAAAATGCATGTTTTGATTGATTGATGGTGACTGAGGTACGTAAACGCCTACTTTTACTGTCCGTTTCTGCATCATTCATAATACCATGTCTTTCGAAAGTGAAGCGGCCCTACAGCCAACCCAAGCATAGTGAGCGACAAGAATTTGATTTTTTGTTTCTAAAAATTTATTAGAAAAAAGAAACAATAAGATAAAATGTAAATTTATCACATTATTTATGTGAAAGATTTTAATTTTAGAAAATTATCAAATATATTAATAATAAAATTATTTATTTTATAAATAAAATTAATAAAATGATAAATATTTTTCAAAATTTATAATTAAAAAAGAAATATGACATCTGCTAACGTATTAATCCATTTTATATGGTTAAAAAAATTTCATTGATAATATTTCAAATAATTCATCTTTAATTTATTTATGTGAAATATCTTAATTTATCTTTAAATTTTAAATTAGTTTAATTTTATCATTCTATTTTTAATTTTAAAACAAATTTGATTACAATGAAACAATTGAGAAATATTCTATAAATTATTTCATTAAAAACTATTTTATAATTAAGAAACAAAATAAAATAGCGAGAAAAAACCATGAAATTTTCTTATTAATATTATTAAATAAAAAAATAAAGAAATTTAAAAAAAAAGAGCTATTTTGTGGTGGGTAAATAACTAAATCATCCTTACAATTGACTATTTATGTATTTTTACCTTTTTATTTCTATTATTGTTGTGGTCTAAGGGATTTTTTTTGTTGAGTTTTTTTTTTGGGTGATTGCGAAAAAAAAAAAGTTAACCAACTTGAATTATTTTTGCTATTATTAAATAAAAAATAATAAAATCTTAAAAGAAAATTGTCATGTGACGAGTTAGATGAATTATTTTTATTATTACTAAATAGAAAATTGAAAAAAAATTCAAATTATGATAATGGTTCATGTATTTTAATAAAATTTAATTTTTTTATATTTAAAAAATTTAATCCTTTTAAAATAATTTTTAGATATATAATTCTCGTATTATTTTAATTTTATAATTTTAATTCAATTATTAATTTGTCAAATTTTTATTGTTAAAATGTTGATGTGATCATTAATTTAATGATGTATGTATTAACTTTTTTTGATGTGATATTGATTTTATAGATATGATAATTCGAACGAATAAAATTAATTATTAAATTATATAAATAAAATTTAATATCTTTAATATTTATAAAAATTTTATAATCATACAAATTGAATTTGATAATAGTGCTCTAATAATTAATGCGATCAATTATATTTTATTAATTTTACTTAATATGTTAATTTATTTATTAAATTAACAAAATTATTTTGAAATTTTTACATAAAAATAATAAAAAAGGAAAAGGAATGAAAAAAATGAGGGAAGTGCTAAGTTGTAAGACATTTAGAAACGGAAAATTTCATTGGCAACAATCGAAGCGTCTAGTGCCACCAAAATTAGCTCAATCACATCGGATCCCTCTAGCCAAAACGAAGCCCGATGGTAGTTGGAAGCCCTAAATGTGTTTCATCGGAGCTCCCTGCGGCTCTAAACGAGGCCACAGCGTTGCTCATGAAGACCATGGTACATCTATACAAATAATTAAAGGTGTTTCATTTAAATGTAATTAGTCATTGACACAACCCTTATGTGATTGAATTGATAAATGCTTTTGTTATTTAAATAAATATTAAAAGAAAAAGCTACATATATAAAATATAAAAGATAAATTTACACCATTACAGTAAAATACTTCATCTTACTAAAAATAATACTTGATCCTATTTTTTCTAATAAAATAATTATTTGACCCTTCTTTTCTCATATTTTTGGTTTCATCTTTGTAATACTTGACATTACTTTTAAATTATTTCTGAATTTTTGATTTAATGGTTAAAGACGATTAAAAAGACATTAAGGATTTAATTTTAAGTCAGGTTTTCTCCCTCTTATTTGTATTAAAATTTTATCTTCCTGATATATATATATATAAAAAAAAAAAACATTACTTTTTATGTGAAATACAGCAAAAGCCTGTTTTTTATTGTGACACTTTTATATTTGAAGTCTTTTGTTTTGAAAAATATTTTAGGTTGTGTTTGTTGGAGGAAGTGATACCGCTTCAATAATAACATAATGGTTGGAATGGTTGATGGCTGAACTCCTAAAGCATCCAGATGTCATGAAAATGGTCCAAGAAGAGGTAAGAAATGTGGCGGGAAAGAAATAGAAGGTAGATGGAGATGTTATCACGTGACAATTTTGAAAATGGTAACAGAAAAAAAATTTGATTATGATATCATATTAAATGTTTAATTTAAAATCAATTGGTGGATTCAATTTGAATATAAAATTCAAAAAATTAAATATTTATTATATGTGAGATAATATCAATTTAATATGTCCTATCATATATAGACAAATAGAGGTGAAGCCAAATATAAGGCAAGTAAGGAGCCAAACAATGAAGTTAATGGAAAAGGATGGTTGATACTAGGAGTGAGAAAAAAATAGAAAAATCTAAAAATTGATTCAAAATCGTAATATTCGGTTTGGTTTAATCGATTTTTTTCTTATTCAGTTTGAATCAAGTTCAGATATTAAATATATATATATATATATTAAGTTCGGATCAAATTTCAAATTAATAGGTAAAAAATAAAAAAAAAATCAAATTTAACTGAATTATATATTTTCTTAATTTTTATATATATTTTAAATTTTATAAAATAAAATAATAATTTTATATCAAAATCTACTTAAATATATTAAAATTTTATATTAAAATATATAAAAATTAAAAATTAGTAAACTAAATTGAATTAATAAAATTCAGTTCAATTCAGTTTCGAATAAAATGAAAGTTCACTTCGAATTATGATCATATTTTAAATTTTTATAATATTATATAATATCTAAAAAAATTCAATCGAATCCAATTTGAATCGAATTGTTATCACCCTTAGCTGATATTAATATTAGATTGGCTGAGCTGTTATATTACAATGGTGTAAAAAAATGTTGGGGGAGGGCCATGGCCATGCTTGCCCCCCTTTGGATTTGCCACTATAAACAAAGATAAAAAAATGTTTGTCATGTGATAAATTTGAAAAGAATAGTAAAA